TTGTTGTTTATTTGCTCACATTTAGTAATCACATAATTTTTTGCTACTCGTTTATAGTTGTCGCTCTTTTTTGGGGGAAAAGTTATATATTTTTTTTTTATTTTTTTAATAAAAACATAATCTAGGGGGGAAAGTTATATCTTTTATTGCCAATTATCCAAAAAAAAAAAAAAATTAGTTAGGTAGAATTCATTATTAGTTATCTATTAAAATGATAATTTTAAATCCATATTTTAACTAATCATTATATTCTTTGAGTAATTAAATTAAATTATAATCATAAATATCAATTATTGAATGATTCTCCTAATAAATCCCTAGCTAATATAATTAATTAGATATATTGATCATCTATAGTTAATTTTATTCCTATGGAATAATTTTAATTAGCAGCAATTATATAATATGAAATCCTACATAATCATCTTTTAGCGTAAGGTCATTCTTAACTGTTTATATCAAGTAGGTGAGCTGAAGATAGAATACGGGAGATCCCAGCCAGCAGCACAATGTCATATAGGGACAAACTAGATGGACTGCGGCAAAATCAGGTTCAAAAAGCTATCCATTAAAAGCTTAATAGTTTTTTTTTAAATAGTCACTTATGAATAGAAGTGGTTATGAACAAGTTACAATGATTCCGTATACAAAGGAAATTTTAACTGTGCTTCCTCAACAATGTTGAGTTGGTACGGAGATATGAACAGCACATGTCCCAATCATTAGTTGGAAGCATGCCGCAAGGAATTTGTCGGACTAGCTCATGAGGCAGTCGAGGAAGTTTAGGTCACCAATATTGAGCCTATGGAGAGAAGCTTTAAATGGATTAATGGACGAGACATGGCTAACATAGAATGGACATTTCAGTATCATGCATATATTGACTTGTGGAACAATAGACGAGCATATCCTATGGTTGTACTTCCACCGAAAGGGAGTGGTAACTAGGACTTGGCTGCATACTTGCGATGGTATAGATCTCGGGCATCCATTTATTTGCTGAAGCCACAAACTGAGCCACCTGAAATAATATACCCAAGATCACCAGGCTAGAGATTGGTGGTGCATATAGTGCGTTGTATGCATCATACACTGGATGTTTACTTTATTATTTTTTATCCTAAAATCTTAACAAATTTGATGTACCGATAAACTAGGTGGACTACTATATGCGCACTAGTGACATCGTGAAACTACTTGCTGGAGGCTATGGGGAGAATGCAAGCTCCACGCAGTTGTCCATAGACAAGATCGTAGAGTTATCCACTAGAGTAAGGAGATCAGTGTGGATTGATTACAGTGCCTTCGATACTACAACCAATGAGTAAGCCTGGATTAGGGGTCTAGAAGGTCAACATTATGTGATCTATCAAGCTTTATAGGGAAGCGTAGATGAAGATCAACAGGCAAAATCCACAAAGGTCAGCAGCCACCTCGATGCACATTGATGACATAGAACCCCCCAAACATTCCATTTATATGGGCTATGACGATAATGACATAGCATCCACATATGAAGTAGGCTAGCCCTCAATGGCATGGGGTCCATACCCGTCATCCACAGGACCTACATCACAACAGTGAAGCCCCCATGATATATAGGTTGAAGGTACTTTAGATTACTACCACATCAGCCACTCCTAGTAGCCACCTTCATATTCATCATATAACATGTCTATATCTAATTGGATGATACCATTAGGCTTACCCTCATCCCCAACGCAACAAGATATACTCCTACAAGGTGTGTTAGTCCAAGAAAACCCACATTATCATGGGGATGAAAACTTAGATGAGGATACACAATTCCAGAGGCAAACTCGGCGGCACCGACTCGATACACCCCAAGTACTAGTGCTATTCTGTGGGGCCGACAGATGTAGCTTTTGATTTTTTTTTATTGTAGCACATTTGTAACGATGAACGTTGCGCACATATCTTTGTATGAAATATAAAATCTTTTTATCTTTACATATCTTGCTTTTTTCACAAATTTAATATAAGATCTAATTTTTAATATAATATAAAAAGTTAATAATACAATTAATTAGTTATGTTGTCAAAGATTATGTTAAATATCTCTTTCGTACAAAGCCACCATTTTAATAAACAAAGAACTAGGTCTTTACAATCACCTACATAAAGTTATGCTCAAATATTTGACAATAACTATTAGTATCATAGACAATACAATGAAATACATGCAACATAAAGAAGATTGCAAAGCATTACTTTTTCTTAAGCAACATATGCAGACGAGTTTAGAGTTGAATTTGAGTTGAATAACAACCGAACTGAAACTAGAACTTATATTGAAGATCTTGTAAATCCGCTCCATTTAAAAACGTTATTCTCTTACCTCCAGGTAATAACTTCTTCATTTGATTCTTATAGATGTCCAAAATAAAACATTTCTCAACTGAAACCTATGGATGGTAAAGAATAACGTGCTTAATATCAAGTGGTGGTCTTTGAACATTAACCAAATTACTACCTTCGCTTTCACATCATATCTTATGATACCGCATCTGAAGAAAGTAAAGACCGACCAAATGATGATCATGTTCCGAGAACTTCTCTTCTACATATTTCCAATCAAAACCATTTAAAAAATCTCCTATCTTATTGTTGTCTATCATCATAACTTCAACATGCAAATATCAAAGTAAAGATTTCCTATCGTATTTCTAGACATACATGCAATACCTAAAAATTTCATTTACATTCGACTTCAACTCTAACGAGCTATAAGAAGACCTAGTCATACAATATTGTATTTGTGTGCTTGCATTATCCAACAATTCTTTCGTGAGCATGCCTCTAGTCTTCTCTAAACTTGGTCAATATATTATGAAGAAAAAATATATAAATTTGAAGAAATCTACTACAAGAAACTCCACTCAATGTTTAATCTCACCTGCATATGCATCAATTATCTAATAGAGCTTAAAGAAACTAGATATTAACACTCAAATAAAAGATTATATTTCTATAAATCTATTCCATCTACTACAAGAATAGTTGATTAGATATTATAACTTTACAACTCACCTAATGTGACAGGTTACTACCAGTAATAATATCAAATAAATATCCTTAATGAACAATCAGACAATAAGTACAGAATCTAATGCTATAGATAACAATTGTGCGAGGATTCTAATGCTATCAAAATTGTTCAACCTTTAATAACCAATGCATATTTATAATATTTATATTATGATAAAATTTTTAAACTTTGGAAATTAATAATATATATTATTTTTAATAGCTTAAATTAAAATTATATATATTAATATGAATATAATAATGATTATAATTTATTTTATGTGTTAGTAATTCTCCATTATTTTCTACTACTAACAAATTCTATTATACCCACTTAATTCTTTAAATTGACATTACTAATTAAATATAGTCTCCTCTCTTAAATCATTTATTTTAATTAGTAATTAATTACAATCTACTATGTTAATTCATTAAATTCTTAAATTCTTAGTTCATTGGATTAGAAAATCGGAGCAGCAAACTATACAACATTTAATGCACTAAACAAATTGGTGCATTCAAAGGAATGCGCCAAAACGTATGCGACATTCATTTGAATGCTCAACAACATTTAGTGAATTCAGTCCTTCCTAAGGGGCTGTTTGGTTAAAAGAAAAGTGAATGCATTGCATTCCTAACGCATAAATTTTGAACTTTTGGGTGTTTGGTTGGATGAAAAGCAAATCCAAAGTAATGTAAATGCTATGTATTCCATCCTAGTTCATTTTTTAGGTAAAACGTTCTCGCATGTTTGTGCGGAGAACGATTTACACTGGGCCCACCGTCGGCCTCCCCCCGCCATTGATCACCTCCAACCGCTGCCCGCCATTGATCATCTCCGGCCGCTGCCGCTACCGGCCACCTTCCACCGCCGCCCTCCACCGAACATCATTGGCTGCCTCCAACCACCGCCGGCCACCGCCCACCATTGTCAGCCACTGCCACCAACCACCCCGGGCACAATCATTTTACACTTTACATTGCATTCATTTTACTTCAAAATAAAAAATAAAAATAAAGCCATGCATTCCATCCAAACAACTCCAAAGTATTTCTTTTACACTGCAGTCATTTTTGAAGCAACCAAACAACCCCTAAATTAGTTTGGTTTCTTGCTCTTTTTGCTAATTAAAATATTCATCTCTCCTTTCTAAAATTTACCCTTACATTCACGTATGTATTAATACAAGGAGAAAATCTTTTTGACTTCTCATTATTGTATCATGTGCCATTAATGGAGAGAATCTCTTCATCTACTTGTTAAACCCCTTGTAATTATCACACTCCTCCACTCCTACATAATTAGGGGTATGATCATAGACTTGAAGCATGGCTGGAGTTTATAATCCTTATTCTAATGAAAAAAATCTTGGCGTCTGGAAGTCCAACAAACTCCATTTTCTTGCAATAAGTGTTTTTATAATGAATTCTTTTTCAATTAATCCCACGTATGATCTTCTTCCTCACTTTACTTAATACAACAAACCCTCTTCCTTAGGTGCTTACAAACATTTTTAAAAGAGTTCCCCAGCTCCATTGTCAACTCTCCCACCCTCTTTTCATGCGGATCTGTTTCTTAGCTTCGTCTCATTTTTAGTAGGAATCGCCCGGGAAGAAGAGATGGACGAAATAAAATTATAAGCAAAAAAGGTTTGTACCCCCTTACTCTAATCCCATGATCCCATCTACCCTTCCAAAGACAATCTCATACTTATTCTGAGGATCAATAAAAATTGTCGAAAAACTACAAATTTGAGGTAAATATCACAATCGTTGCACAGATGAATCTTTAGACAGGAAATACAAACTTTTACCACAAATCATTTGCAGCTGTAACAGAGATGAGCAGCTATAGAGCAATCGAGCTTAAAAACAAAATCAAACAAATTAACAACCAACAAAACACCTCTACTCGATATTATTCCATCCCTAGCAAAAAGGAGAGATTTTACCAGTGGCTGCAGATTGTTGTCATTGAATCAGAAGCCATTGCCATGGAAACCAGCAGTACAGATCCGATAGAGAGATCGACTATAAAAAAGATGGAACCCTAACACGATTCGATGGTGCCCAAAAGATTTCGAGCTTCTTGGAGTCTGCTTAGCTTCGATATTGAAACGTAGAAGACCGACAAGCTGCGGAAGAAGAGGAAGCCCAGATTGGACGGCGCATTGGTCAACAGCTTACCAAATCGGAAGAGTTGGTTTGATTTGGAACAACCAAGCTCATTATTTTTAGGGAGGAGAATTTCGACAATTCATATCCTTTATCTCTCCCTCTCTATCTCTATAAATATAATTGACTAAAACTTCATTTTTATATATATTTACATATTACAAAATTTTATATATTTATATCTATATTTAATATCTAAATTTCTATATTTATTTATATACTATTTTATTATCTAAATCACATTAATATATATGTATTGAATATATCTTTTATATTAAATACAATATTATAAGTGCATTTTTTATGTGATTTAGAAATATGAGTAATAAATAAGTAAATACAAAATTTAAGATATTTTTTATATAAATACATACAAAATTTATTTTATATATGTAATTCTTTTTTTGAATGAAAGCAATAGTGCTTTTAAAATAAAAACTAACTTATATTATATTGTCAGTAAATTTAATAATGCTTGATTAGTAATTGATATTGTCTTTAAAAGCTTAAAAAATAAATGATATAAAAATGGTTATTTCTATAAATAAAATTTTGTATATTAAAATGGCAATACCTAAAGCCATGGGCCTCCTCCTAGAGGTGAAGGTAACATGACTTTGAAGAGATAAGGCATGAAGATCTTAGAAAGTGAATCACACTTTTATTAAAAAATAACTTCTATATTTTGAAAATATCTTTCTATAAATAAAAATTTTTGTTAAAAAATAATTATTTCAAATTAATTTCTTGATAAAATAGTTATTTGTTTTGATTTTTACTCAAATGAGGTTCGATAAAATAAATAGATTTATTATCTGTTAGAATTCGACTCAATAAAGAGATAAAGAGATCGTGATCATCTTATATTCAAATGATGACTCGTTTGAAATTGAAATGAATGGGGGATTCATGATTTTTTTGTATAAAAAATTTGAAAAACAAATTAGAGGTTTACACTAGTTAAAATAGTTTCCAATGATAGTAAATATGAATTACAATGGACTTTATTTCTTTAAACTTGAAGAATGCATACATATAATGTAAGTAAACTATATTGTTTCAATTATCTTTAGTGTTGGGCTTACAGTAAAGTTAAGATTTGGGTTATTCCTTCTTCATAGATAAAGACAACACTATCTAAGGGCAATGGGTGAAACAATGCTAAAATTTAAAGGAGGCCATTAAGGTGACATGACCTTAATGCGATATTGCGATGGCCAAGGCAAAAGGATCATTGAAAGTGATTAAGGATAGTTAAGATGGACTTTCTTAAAAAGGTGAAGATGGCATTACCTATAAATGGCAAACAATGCAACACATAATGATCATGGAGACAAGTAAGAGTAATCAAGATGGCCTCCCTTTTGGAGGTGAAGATAACCAAAATATAGTGTAAGAGGTTGATACAATTTACTTAAGGGGATGTTTGGATGGAAGTAAAATGAGTGTAAAGTAAAGTAAATTTAAAATTTTAGCTTTTTATGTGTTTGGTTTGACACAAAGTAAAGCAAACTAAAATATGAATGTATTTAAAACTCCCTGCCTTAGTTCATGTTCCATGTAAATTAAAATTGTCTGATTCAAGCAAAAAAGGAATTCACGAGTGCGGGTGACCAAAAGTTATGCATAACTATGGGAATTCTTCCGCTGGCTTCATGAATAGGGGTGAATTTGATGAAAGAACATCATGCTTCATTTCCCTTCTTAGCTCCCTCCGTCAAGCTCTCAAACCCCTCCCTTACCCACCATCACCAGACCGTCGAAGGAAAAGCAAGCAAGGCCTCAGTTCTCTCCACAATCAATGAGTCGATGAACCCCCAGATATCGAAGATCTCCACACCAACGTAATTGGCCTCCATGACTCCATCCTCTCTCGCATCCGCCTCGACTCCTCACCTGATGGTGTCAAGCTGTGATGGTGGTGCGATCTTAGAGGCTGTTAGGGCATTTGAGTATGTGGTGAAGACGATGCAAGGTAAATGGCAACTAAAACTTTTGGTGGTTGATCTGATTCTGGGTTTGTTAACTTCGTCGCCTGATCCGTTGGGAGTACAATTCCTAAAAATTAGATTCTTCATTTCATTTGAAACAATGGAGAGTTCTAGCTATTGGAGAATGAAATGTTTGAAGGTTTTGCTATTGCTTATTTTGATTCCATGGGAGGAGTTCGAGCTTAAGCACTAACAGATTATGTGTTTTCAGTAGAGTATGATTAATATGTAAGAGGATGCATGTAAATTATGTGTTTTTCTTAGAAACAGATGTTAATGTTTATGTCTTTGTGTTCATTTGTTGAAGCTTTATTAGTTAGCTTGTGCTTTATTTGATGTGCTTAAGTTGTTTAATGAATTCTAAGTGTCTAAAGATGTAATTTAATAAAATAATTTATAACACCTTAATTCCTCATTTAAAATTAATATTCTCTTAAAACTAATCTCTTGTGGTGATATTGTTTTTGGTGCTAGAGCATCATGTGATGGCAGTGGGTGCATATCCCTTGTTCTAGCCCGATCAACTATTCCCTGAAGTGATTAAAAAATCTTGATTCGATCAATATGATCCCAGAGGTCCACCACCTGAAATCTTAACATCCTAGAATCTCTGCTCAGCTGCTACGTGGGTTGGTTTGAATGGTTGGATCCCTTACTATGCTTTGACAAGCTAATTTTGAAGGACATGAACTTGGATCAAGTTAGGGCAAAGGAGGCATAACTTGCTCCTCCCCTGGGTTTCCCACTAACCTGGCTACCTCATAAATATCACTAATTAAATTGGGATGTGGCCCACCATAAGTAAATCCCCTAAAAATATATTAGATAGAATAAAAAATAATTATCCCAAAATCCACAGCATATCCTTTTGAATATAGAAATTCATAACCGCTTTATTAGTTACCTCACTAATATTTATGATAGGAAGCTTCATAGAGAAAAAGTAGTGCCATGGTTGGGACTCCTGGGTGAGGATAAAAGCAAAAAAGTTAGTTATTTTGTCTTCTCTTCTCTTTCTCTTGGCATTTAAATCCCTCTAAGTTAGGTATAGAATAATTTCCTTATAGTCTATAGTGTAGAAAATTAAATACTCATCTCCATTGAATTGGAGTTTATGGATTTAAAATATATGGTCGATAGAAATAGGAGTGAAAGGAACCCAATTACTTTGGTCAAAGAAACACTCATTATGGGGTTCCTTGCCATTGGCAAAGAATTCTCCAATGACTACGACGTTGGTAGGGTGAGGCTGCATAATCTTTGAGACCATCTGTAACTTAAGAAAACTAGTAAGGGAACCTAAGACTCAAATGCTCTAAAACTCTAAAACTCAAAAGCATAAAAATGCAGATAAGAGATGAAATTTAGCCCCATTTCTATTTATTAACTAAGCAGCACTACGGTGGCGACTTGAGTAGCACTATGACACTTAAACAAATCCGATTAACATGGGTTCTAATGTTGTGATGCTGAGGATAGGTAGCACTGCAATGCTACCCTTAGAAATTGAATTTATAGGATTTTTAACCATAAGATCATCATGACACTTGATATGTGGCAATATTGGGACACTCATAGTGGCCATCGCAATGGTGATTCAAATACTTTATTATAGTTTTGACCAAGCACCACACCATTGTATGGGTGGAATTGTGACACTTAGTCCAGCATAATGACTAAAGAGCTTACGGTGCTGCATATATGTTGTTGTAGTGTTCTAAAGGGCAAATTGGCATTGTAGCGTTAGATTCCTCAACACTTAAGTATGATCAACTTAAAATAAAATTTTAATAATTAACATAGTGTTGTGACACATTAGGGTATATCATTATGACACTAGGTTGAGTTTTTTTAAAAAAAATTTCCATACTCCAAATAAGCTACAACACACAAACACAAGGATAAATCTAAACTCACTTCTACTTGTTACAACTCAGCTTTCATAACTATGTTTCGTATTATGCATGTTTTTGTTTGATTAATGTTCTCCTAACATATATTGGATATATTTCTTTTATTGTTTGTGTGTACTAACATTTTAGGAAAATCATACTTCAAACAGTTGAAGATTTCAAGATAGATTATACTAGGATTAATTATATCTGAAGTCTATACATTTTTACTTTTCTTGAGTCTGAGAGAGTGTGATTGTAATTGGATAACCGTGCACACACACACTGGGGGAGTATAAAAACTTATAATTTTTAAACTAATTGTATTGTACGATTATTGATTGTACAGGACGATCTGGCTTGGACGTTCCTCCATATGCGAATAATCAAATCATAGATAGAAAATTTTCTAAGTACTATTCGTACTATATAAAGTTGCCTTCATATAGACGACGTCCATGATACAAAATTCATGCCAACTTTTTCATCCATACAAACAGTAAAATTTTTTGAATTATTCATCCGGGACGATCTTGACTTCATACAGATGATGTCCAGAGTAGGAAATTGATGCGAACATTTTCATTCATACAAACATGTAGGGGTGTCAATATTTGACACGACCCGAAAAACCGACCCGAACCCTACCCGAAAATTTCGGGTTAGGGTCAACCCGAACCCGAAACGGGTCGGGTTCGGGTTCAACATTTCGACCCGTTTCAAAAATTGGGTCGGGTTTGGGTTAACCCTTTGACCCGAAATTGACCCGATTTTGACCCGACAACCCAAGATTAACCCGATTTTGACCCGGTTTTGACCCGAAAAGAGGAGATTGACCCATTTTGACCCGAAAATTAGCAATTTTTTTATTGAAAACGAGTCATTCGGGTCGGGTCAGGTTGACCCGGACCCGAAGCAGGTCGGGTTCGGGTTGACTCGAATAGTGCCGGGTCAGTTTCGGGTTCGACCCGAACCCGACCCGTGACCCGAAATTGACACCCCTGCAAACATGTAAAATTTTTGAACTATTCGTCCGGGACAATCTTGCCTTTGTACAAACGACATCTATAGTACAAAATTGATGCGAACATTTTTGTCCATACGAATAGGAAATTTTTTTGAACTGTTCGTTCAGGATGATATATGATTCATACTATACGATGTGCATGTTCAAAAAT